CGGAAGAGCACATTCTTCGAATCCATCCCCAGTGTTTAGACAGAGATTCTACATAGAATCCAGGGATCATAAGTTGGGAGAGAAATTTATTCCTAGAATATCATACTTGTGATTGATATTGAAATATTCGTATCAAAATCAGGATTAAAATATTTATTATTCTCATCGTTATTTGCCTCCACGTGCTATTAAAGTAATCGAAGCAAATTATTATCGACGTTCATGAGAATTCGAAAATAAAAATTGTATATAGGAATCAGGAGTGGATAAATTATAAGAATTTTAAATTTGTATCAAGACACATCGAAGTTTATTATACGAGGAACATTTACAGAATCATATGGATTAATCGAGATGTAAGTCTTATGATTACAAGAGGACGAGTGATCTGGACGATGCGACGAATTTCAAAGCGCCAGAGGGATCTTTGAACGAGAGATTAGCGTAGGAGGATTCGCTGTTGCACGCTGATAAGTTAATAAAGCTGTAGACATTAGCATTCGACGCATCCAACCGAATCCTGGGCAGCTAGGACTCTTCAGATCGAGTCCTGGCGGGAGAGCCAGGCGTTGCAGGTTTCGCTGACAGATTCGCAGACAGACGACATAGCCCGGCTGGTGATCTCGTAATCTATGAAAAATGACAAGCAATCAAAATCATTCCTGCTACAAATCGTTGAACAAAGCGAAAAAATAACTCCGAATTTTAATTTCGAATAACTATAAAACAGTATGCCTCGAGTGCATGCATACTAGCATCAACGAATCGAATGAAGAAAATTTAAATATTAAAATGAAGAATAACTGAAAGTATATGTGTAGTGTACTATGTAGTACAGTATACTATAGCGTGTATGAGAACCAAGGAATCACATAAAATAAATATCCTTGCATTAAAAAGAATTTTAAATACACATTGGGATCCATGGTTCAGATAAAAAGATTTAAATAAGTATTTTAATTAAATTGAGAAAATTTATATATATAAATAAATATGAAATAATACAGTTGTAAATGCAGGAAGGCAAGAATTATCAAATTGGACTACTGAAAATTTCAGTAGAAATATTTCTCAAAAAAGAAATTATAAATGATAAGAATTTTCCTGATTTTCGTGACATTATTCATGGATCACGTGTATTTTAGTCTCACCGGTGATGGTGCTGGATCTCTTGCCGAAGATGCTTCCGTTGAAAGGAGGCTTCCTGTAGGCGGCGTCCACGCTGATGGCGAGGACGAAGAGGACAGCAACGATGGCGAGGACGAGACGAGTGGAGACCATTTTGGAGGTTTTGGTTTGCGAGGTGCTTGAAATTAAGGAACCAATTAAATAAGAAAACTAGAACGAGGAGAATGTCTAACATATGAAAAGAATTTTGAAAACCTTCCAAGAATTTGTAAAAGGATGATGAAAAGCGTTCTTCTGGAAAATGGCCGGTTTACTTACAAATGCGGAAGACGATGGAACGTGTACGATAGTTGGTCAGCAAATGATGCAAATAAGGCAAAATCTTGGAGCTTTTATACCAGAGAAATGGACTGAAGACAAATGTCCCTATCAAATGCAGATGGCCTACATTATTCGTAAGCGAACTCATCGAGGAGTTGGTCCAAGAGCGTATCGACTCGGCGAAATGTTAAAATTCTATATATCGCGACCATGATTGACTGATGTAATGAAAAAAGTAGGTAACATTTTGCTTCTGAGTAAATGTGGAATATTAAAGCTGGATGAGAGAAAAATTTTTAGAAAAGGAGCACGTGAATTTCGATTTTTTCAAGACAATTTGGAAATATTTCGAGAAATGGTTAGTACTACATTACTATAGCAGAGTGTACAGAAGTATTACATGGAATAATAAAAATTTTTCTCACGGTGTTGGGACTGTGGTCTTACCTTGAGTTGGAAGATGTCTTCTCCAAAGGAAGGGTAGCTGTGTTCTGCTGTTTTCGCAAGAAGGCTCGGCTTTTATAAGACGCCAGAATGTACGTCGTGATACGTGGTGTAATACGGTTATAGAACAATGTTACAAGCTATCATGAACAGAACCTAATTACGGCTACCTTTGATTATACTTCTGTCTCAGGGGAAATAAGCTACCTATTTGCGACGGAAAAGAATAGTATATCAATATAAACATAAAACTATACTATATTATAAGGATGTAAGGATGTTTTCAATGGTGTAAATTATTACTTTGTCAAAGTTTAGCATACGGTTATTAAAAGTACTATTATACAAGTAATTTTCTTTATATTATTAACATAGGTAAATTTGGGAAAATTTCGCATGATTCTCTGTGAATTTCGAAAAGAAATTTGTTAGAGGAGATTAATTTCTTTTTAAATATCGTAATATTTGCATGAGGGGGTAATCTGCATCAAATTTCACAGCTGGATAAAATTTTAGTGGAATTCTTCATTATCAATTGTCGATTAAACGATTCCTATGTATACCTACGTCTTTCTATACTACATACTGATGAGATAGAAGACTATCCTATAATGATAATGTGCTACACATATTATATCTTCAGTAGGTAAACAGATCTCTTCTGTTACAATATGCTTCAAATAATTTTATTTCAAGTAAAATTATATTAAGAAACTTTTATTAATTCTCATTTAGCCATTGGAAATTAGCCTTTCTTTATTTTTGTATCTTTCAATAATTTTTTATATGGTTACTATGACCATCTGTCAACCCTACTGTCAACCCTAATGACTGTCAGTCATTAATTACATAATATTAAAATTTTTATAAAAGGACGTATAAATTATTACACGTATTCTTAAATAAATTATAAACAATTTAAATTTGCACTAAAAGTCAATAAATTATTAATTATAATAATATAAACGTTAGAGACTCTTTGAAACATCGTTAAAGTTCGTGAATATTCGTTTAACTGCGGTAAAGTTGTATAATCTATATAAGCACCGCGAATATGCAGGAGAGGTTAGTCGTCTGTCAGCATTTGTGGGGAGTACGTCTAAAATTAAAATCAATTAATTAATTAATTTAAATTAAATTATGTTCTTCTTATTGATTAATTCTTTTATAATACGTTATTATTTATTTACACTAGGGTAATTAGTGTTTATTACAATTTATTAATTTTTCTTATTATATATTTTTTATTGACACATTATGTCAATTTCATTTTATAATAACTTTTAAAAAGAATATTTAACAATGATTTTTAAACATAATTGCAGCGTTTGCATAAATTCTACTGTCAAAATTGTCATTTTGTGTTAGGAAAATATAACATGAAAGGAGGTAGTTCACTGAAACATTTATTTCTCGAATTTCAAGCCATTGACGTCATTTTCCAAGAATTTAACAAATCCAAATTTTACAATCTTTGCATAAATCCTGTTACAAAATTTGCGATTGCGTTTTATTATCGACGGTAGATAATGTCGATAACTAATCTTCAGACATGTACATATCTACAGATACTAAAGAGGAAACTGACATAATCCCATCATTTTATTATTCCTTTTTCGTTAATTATTTCATAATTTTCAACCTTGAGAACGTTTGATATTACTACCTCTAAATTACAAATCTTTCTTAAATATTCTCACTTCTTAGTTAAACAAATACACAAAATAAAAGTGTTAAACAATTAAAATAAAATAATAAACAATTCAACGTGTAGAGTATGATATTCTTTATTTATCGTATGACAAAACATAATGCGAATATTGTTCACTTACATCATATATATACACAATGTACAATCACGAACATAAATAATATAAATTTATTAGCGACACGGAATAACTTGTATATTTACGACCGAGTAAGCCTTTGAGCGTAAAATTCGTTACCCTAACATACATAACTTATTTAATCTAATTCCAAGATTGCCTTCTGGCAGCAGCCACGCATCTCAATTTCCCATACCATAATACAACACCTTACGATATCGACACGAACAACCATTAAATCGCACGAATTATATCCTAGATTTGTAAATTGGTACCCCAAAGTTTCGACTGCTCGACATTATCGTCGGCCATAGGAAGCCTCCCAGATATATTCGTAGGAATATTTACAAAGCAGTTATTCCACTTACAACTACACGTTAGCCCAGATAATAAATTGCTGAAGTCGAGTCTTTCGCGCATTTCTGACTAATACTTTGTTAATGTTTCGATGTGCAGGTCGATCCTCGCTGAGGAACCTGTTCCCTCGGTTTACCGTGCTTATTGCAGGATATCGTGGCGTGGCAAATTGCTCTTTAACTGTACTCTTCCTGACAGACGGATGCATAGGTCGAAATTGCGCGAAAGACAAAGTTTGCATCGCAAAGGCATACTATCTACGTCTTATTGTCGCGTCACAACGTTTTTCGAACGGCATCTATACAAATAAACGGATCCACGTTATTTCCCAGCTCGGGAGAGATCATCGATCATTCAGGACCGTGGATTTCACCCGACTGGGACGTGGTCGCGTTTGAAAATAATCGCTTAAACAACAACTACCAATACTCTCATGCTTGCATTGTTCTGCTCGACCTGTCGGATTGTTCCGTCATCCTCGAGGCTCGATCGCACGCGTATCAGCAAGGAGACTACGAAATTGGAAGACATGGATCTTGTGTTTCGTTTCGCTTAACGAACAGCTTAATAGTTAACTTATGACAGCTTATCGAGTACCACGGTCGTGTAAAAGATTACCGGCTACGATTAGAAGTCTTAGGAAACTAGGCATAGTGACTCGTCGATGCACGCGTTTGCAGCATCGCGGCCACGTATAAATACTATTTATTGCATAATACACACATCGCTCGTCGGTGTCCCGTTCACACGCCTCGAGAAGGAACAATGCTCGCGGAATGATCGTGTGTCCTCTGGTTCTCCACGCTGTGCACCGTTGTGCGAAGGAAGTGTCATTCTTGCATCGTGAAACGGCGCGATAGCTCGCTGCTGACAACGAAAATCCCCTTTGTCCCAATGAAAACCCCAATTGCAGTCTGATAAAAGCTTTCCCTTGGACGTTAAGCTTCCTCGTTAAGCGCGTGAACCGGACCCAGCGTCTAGAAGAGTCTTAAGCCTAAGGAAGCAATTAAGCTATTCGACGACCCGCACGCCGATAATCTCGTGGCTAAATCATCTCGAAAATCTTCCCCCAAAGTGTCTCTATTTACTCTATTTTCGTTGATCGATGGATCCCTGACGGGTTCGAAAATCGTCATCTGATAGGCAGACGCGAAATTCGCTTCTGTCAACTCCGTGACACACATCTCGCGGGATTGCGTACGAACGAATGGTCACTTGATCGATGAGAGACTCACGAAGAGGATTATCGACGCGTTGATCGAGAAAGGAAGATATAGAATTGCGTTTAGGTATCGTCAACGGAAACAGACTGACCTTAAGACTATCCGGTATTAAGACTACCTGGTACCATCGCACCGACTAACCTACGAGATATGTAAATTCGTGAATCTCTGCTCCTTTCATCTTCATTCACCCAGAAGCCAGTCCTCTTCATGGTACAATGTCACAATTGCAGGCGTTGGCGCCCTGGCCGCTGTCACACTGGGCCATGCACCACAGATCCCAGTCGATGGTCGCGTCGTCCACGTCGTTATGCTCGTCCACACGAGAGCCGGGATCCGAAATCTCGATGACTTCGTCCTTGGACTCTGCTCTGCTCGATGGATCTTCCCCTGCTTCGCCGATCTTCGCGATGGCTTCGAAAAGAGCCTTCATCTCTGGCCCTTGCTGACCTCGGTCGTCAGCCGGGACCATGGGTCTGTCTTCTTCGTCCTTCCTCAACATACCAAACTCTTCAGCCTTCTTCGACCAATCTCTCTCGAACTTCTGCACCCTCCAACGATCCTCCTCGAGGTCTCCCGTTTTGACATCGTCTATGTCTTCACAGGTGCAACCGTGACGCCGGATGAGCGACTGTCTGAACACGCGACAGACCTCGGTGTCGTCGAAGAACGGGCTCTCCGACGAGCCAGCACCATGGTACGGGGTGAAGCAGAGCCTCAGGAGACGTCGGATCGGCAACCGGCCTCCGCTGGACTGAAGGACGAGTTTCAGCTGGTGCTCGCAAACTCCCGTGCTCTCGGGGCTGGTGTTCCGTGCACGGCACAGACGGACGCATGCGTGGTCGACCGGATGCGCGGCCACCACGGCCAACAGTAACGCCAGCAACACCCACCGGGGTAGAGGCGTCATCTGAAAGTGATGGCTAATCAATACGAAAGCAAACGAGGAACTCGCCGCGTTCCGATAGTCGCCGGAGGAGGCATCGGAGGGATTGGTTATGGCAATCGGGAATTTCCTGCAGACCGTGGCCGTTCTTTCTCTTCACGGTATGCCTCGTTGTATACAGGGTGACTCGCGCTGGATGGCGGGTAATATGGAGCAGGTAGCTCCAGTAGTAGAGTGGAAAATATGGAGGGTTGGTTCTAAGGGTACTTTTGGGGGCTGGGATTATTTCTCGGGCACAGTTGGTGAACAAAATTGGTAAATTGTGGATATAATATGATCTATAGTTGGAACTTTTATGGAATGAAAATTAAATTGGAGTATTACGAGAATACTGTGATCCTCCAGTAATAAATGTTTGACAGAGGTACAGGTACTTGTGTTCTTCTACGAAAAGGTGATTTCTCATTTTCGATGAAAATTCCCGTTTTATGTTAATTCTTTATAGAAATTAGATTCGTTTATTATAGGACACACTGTATTCCAAGATCGGTTCGCTCGCGAGGGTAATAATTCTTTATCGAATACGACCTCGTACAGAAATTTTTGGGGAAGGAGTAGATATTTGTGCGTTTCTGTAGAATATCGGTAACGTGTATTTATCGAATAACAGTTAGATTCGTGTATTACGGGACACACTGTATCCCCGAAGTTCGTTTGGCACGCGGGACGAGTAATACCAGGATCTTGGTATCCGTTATCGGTTTTGGGTGCCGTGTGTCGATAACTGGTCCCGTCGTTTCGAGTTAAGAACGGCAAACTTTACTATAAATTCCGCTAATTGTTGGCAGGAGCTTGTACTTTCTTAGGTAATCGGCTTTACTTCGCCAGGCCACCGAATTGCTTCCTACTTTTTCCCGAATCGAGGATTTACGGGGAAATACATTCGACTCGACGAATTTTCTCGATTTCAGTCGACTCCACGCCCGCGAGACGATTCTTGGATATATTTTATCGTTCCTCGTCTTATTGCCTAATCTTGCCGAGCTGCTTCGATTAAAGCGACAACAATGCGCGCGTCAATTACCCACGAGGGTACAGAAACGATGCACCAGTTGCTTTTCCGAGCGAAACAACGAAAGGGATAAGAATAATCGGCAAATGGAGGCTGTTTCGCGATCACGGTGCCAGCATCGAAATTCGCGGCTTTGTGTCGCAAACATGTCACCCAGAAATTGGAATTCTCCCCTGACAAAGGCTCCCGTGAACTTATTTCGCGAATCAGGACATCCCCTCTTCCCATCCTCCTTATTATAAAAATTGGAACACGATGGGGTTAGGGAACGTAGGTTAAAACAGCTTTCTCGTCGGCCTATCGATGCGTCTGTCAATGACGATAAATTCGATTTCCGATAATTACAAAATCCTAAATAATATTTAATTTGAAGGATTATAGAGGCATTATAAAACCACTCACCTTTCATATGAATCAGAAGCCAGGAAATATCTGTGCAGCTCCTAGAGAGAGCCACAGCGAGCTGGGCTCGCGAAGCGGACAGAAGGCTTTGCAATCTTGCACGGCACTGGCTCAACTGATCACTGGCAGTATATACAGCATTAAGTGTCATTGGCTGTGTCAACTGGTACAATCTGATTACGCACAAACGTATCCAGAGAGCGCAGTGGAAGATAACACGGTGAACACTTTTCAGTTCGAGTTCCGCTCTTTCGCCAAGGGTTAATGGCCGTCAGAGGAACACCCTCCCGAAAACTTATAAATTTTGTGCACCTGTGTACATCGCAAATACCTTCTTCGGTTATCCATAAAAACGCAAATGTATTCCTTAAATATCGATTCGTGGAAATTTTTCGATCTCGCTGATAAGGATACTCGAAGACACCTCGATCTCTTCGTAGTCGAATTTGTAACATGAATACAGTTGTAAAGATAGGGAACGAGTGCATGGACGAGGTAGATTAAAGTATTCGTATCGTGTGCCAATGTTAAACTATTACGAGGTCTGTAATGTCTGTAATAAAGTTAATTAGTCGATGGTTAATGAGTACCGATTGGTATTTATTAAATTTATTATTTAATTATGTTTATTAAATTTCTTAAATTTTTATCTCTATTGACAGTGGAAGATACCTTGAAGCAATTTTATCTTCAGTTTCGAGATGGTTTCTCCATTTGGGATTAGACGAATCCACACCATAAATGAAATTTTTGATCACGCTACTTAAAACCTTCTCGTCGATGAAATCTTATCGTGAGATGCTGATAAGGTTAATCGGAGACGCAGCAGAAAGGTGTTAGATGTTCGTGATAATATGAATGAAATAATGTGTATTTCTGACCCCAACATTTTCTTCGATGTTACAGACAGAATTTCTCATTTCGACACAGGAATTTGCATCCTCGACTAATAAAAATCTCGCGGGACTGCCATTATAGAAAATAAAATAGGATGAAATAAAAATAAAAAAGGAAGATAGTGCCGAGATAAACGTGCAAAAGCATGGAATTTTGCAGGTTTTCGATCTGGGTTACTCGAAATTCCACGAGACAAACGAGCGGTTATCCGGCTCCATGAATATTCACGTTCACGCGTAACCCTTTCGCGTATGCGAGGGATGCATACTATTGCATACGTGGAACATCGATCGTCGTCGCATTTCAATCATGCCGTCGAACTGGCGAAATTCTGTCTCCTTCTCGTGGCCAAATCATCGTCCTCTCGATTCTCATCTACTCGATCACCCTTCATCGAGATATCCGCTCCACCGTGTGTAAAATTCCACTCGAGATCGATACTCGCGGATGATCCTGCAATCTCGCGACTCCTCGTCGACCTCACAACGGATTAAAAATTTCAACGCGTTTTGTATCGACGTTCCTCTCGTTATCAAGAAACGAACACAAGTCTTTCGCGATTCCCACGCGAGGACAAAGCGGGAGAAAGCGGGAAACAGCCCGAGGAAACGCCGGTGGAACTTGGACACAAGTTATTTGCATTCCTTGGACCGATAGCAGCGCTGGGAAATGTACCTCGAGGCGTTCGAAGATTCTTTCTTTGGTTCCTGGGGGCTGTATCGTTTCAATTTAAACTTTCTGCGCGAAGCAACCGCGGCATGAGAATCTATTGAATCTTCCCTCTGCCGGGTTTGAACCATATTTCTTTTGCAATTAGTATTATATTTGAAACATAACGAGATCGTTCTGAGACGCTAAAATTTATTTATTTAATATTGAGCCACGGTTCTTGTTCTTACGTTTAATCGGAAGAAGAGAGTACTATCAATTAGGGCTACTGATATTTGTTTATCTGATTGTAATCTCAGTAGATAATATTAATTTTAGTATCACGATGAAGATAAAGAAATATGTATAATTACAGTTCTACTTGAAAATGAGGGGATATTCGATGCGCCGAGAACAGGTATATATTTTTAATTATTGCAAGAATAGAAAATCTGGTACCAGCAAGTTTGATTGGATTCGTGAATCTAGCGTTAAAGACTGACGATGAAATAAGTCTTCTTTTCCTTTCCTCAACGATATCAAATTAAAGTCTCGATTATCTAATAAATTTCTAATTTCAATTATGTAAATAAATTATCTAATTTATCTTACAAAGATCGTAACTACGCTTTTTAGCGAATTGGCGATAAAATTGCCACTCGACCATTTATCATCGCGAAGCTTGTTATGCTCCTGAGGTAACGAGATAATCGAAATCGCGAGGTATCGCGTCGTTCAGTGAAGAACGAGGTTACGAATTATCGGGCAAAGGGAAGCGAAAGATCAACAAAGCTGTTGTTCTCCACGAATAAACGTCCTGCTTTTGGAAGCAGTTTACGGACGATTTTACACGAAGACGAGCAACCATAACGGAGAGACAAGGCGAGCGTGGTTAACAAAGGAGACTCATATTCTCCGGCAGATGTAACGGGTGTCTGAGGAACATACGAGAAAGCGACAAGGTGTATCGACCTCAATGACGCGATTACGTTCACTCGACGACGAGTTGTTACGTCCCTGGCACATTCTGGGTCTTGCCCTGTCCTCCACCCTCGCGCGAAGGACGGAGGAAGTATTGATTAAATTCACCGTCGGCCATTTTGTCCCGCCATCCGATTGGCTGCCGTCCATTTTGTCCTTCCTGCCCTCTCCACCCCGACTGCCTCTGTGTCTCTTCCTCTTCCTCCGTTTGTCATTCTCTCGGCATCCCTATTCCTTTCCTCTCTATCTCTCACTCACTCTCTCTCTCTCTCTCTCTCTTTCTCATCCTTGGACTCGTCGAGTCGTCGAGTTCCTCGGAGGAAGCGAGACAAGAAACGCATGCGTCGCGACATTTTCCGCGAAAGAAATCGGCAATCGGGTTTTTTGTTCCCGCCTTTCACGTTCCACCGGTTGTTTTTCCGCCTAAGAGGCAGAGAGCACCGAGAGGGTGGCTGATGTCGGACATCGATATCGAGAATCGTGTCCGTTGATACCTCCGGCGCTAAACGAGTCACGGACGCGCCATGAATTCTTCAGGATGCTTCGTCCTGGCAATTCGAATCTCTTTAACCGAGGGATAATTTGAATTCCTCGAGATCCTCGTCTCTAAGAATCCTCGATACATACCGTAATATCAATCCCGTAATCCCGTTGTTCAATTCGTATTAGTCCAAAAGAGATCACCTATGTACCTACTTACGTACCTATTCTTGTATTCCGAATACAGGATCGTTGAATTTTGAAGGAAATCCGGGTAACATATTTTCACAGGGGATCATACTTCGTCTATTTTGGTTCACCTCTCGGCAAAAAATTGCACGACTTGTCTATAAAAATCGGCATGGAAACGATCTCGAGGAACCTGCGCGTGCACCGGAAGCCACAGCATCCTCTGGTAGCATCTCGTATTCTCGGGTAACAGGCAAGCGTGCCAGAGATTTCGCGGCTAAGTAGCTCCCTTGGACCCCATCGGTTGCACGTTGGAGTACATTCGTAAACATATAAAAGGGACGCGGTGCCGAGGCATCCCTGTGGCGAAAACCGCACGCGGAGGCGCCTCGTATCTCGAGGCTAGAGGAAACAGATAAGGTAGAGCGACGAACGATACGTCATACCACCCTCTGACGTCAGCGTGACGTTCGACCAGGGATTGGCTAGGCTTCGACACGCCTACGAGGCCACCCTCGTGGTCGATCCCTCGTTTCTTGCATACGACGAAGGTTTGTCGACTCCGCCCACGCGAAAACAACCCCCGCCAGCTGGACACGAGGGGTAGCTGCGTGGGTTGCACGAGAGAGAGAAACTGGGTCAGGCAGACTCGAGGCAGGCCGAGTCAGGCCGAGGCTCGAGAGTCGTCCAGGCGTTTTCGGCTGGAAGCAGTCCCTTGGAAACCACCCCGAAGCCCGTCGTCGCTTCACCAGTCTATCGTCGATCCATCCTCGAGTCCTTCTAACGTTAGGACCGCTCCATCCCCTGTTCGCGAGAGCGAGACCGCTTCTGTGCTCGAACACCCTCGAGGAGATAGGAAGGAATCGGTGAGTGCTTCCTTGGAAACAACCCTTTGTTGCAACCCTTTCTTTCTGTCAGCGTGGTTCTCCGCTTTCGTCGTTTAGCCAAATAGTTGAGAGGGTTTTGAAAATTTGCCTATACCTTGTAGGGTTGGTTTTGAATGATCGAAGAGGTTGTAGAGGGGTTGGAATTTTGGCGGAGGATTTGAAGTTGCTTTCCTTTTCGAAACCCTCTCGATTATTGGTTATTATATCGGAGATATTAATTTCTTGCTTTCACTCCTCACTCTCGCTTCATCCCTTATTTGTGGCCCGATGGAAAGGTACCTAGGAATGACTCGGGTGGATTCAGTTTTATAATACACGGTTGGAGGGTTGATACAAAAATTGTACGCTCCTGGGTACGTTCCATCGATCTCTTCTATTTTAACGCGAATGAAAGCTGCTCGCGAAATTCTCCTTTCTGTCATCAGTAACCCGCATCTTTTTGATCCACGTTTTAATTACTCTCCTTCAATAAAGTGATCCGTAGTGTCTGATCTCTTCAGGATGATCTATCGCTTACCTTCTTACGCTCCAAGGACCAGTCGATCGGTTCAGAGAGCAGCGACGCGGTTCTCGGGAACCGGAAGTTGAGAAAGAACCGCAAAAAATGAAATAAAAAAAAAAAAAAGAAAAATCGAAACGAAAAGAAAATGCTCTCTGTCCATGTTTCTTTGGTCGCTCGGCCTGCCGTGTTCCTTCGGCGTTTAATTCTCTGCTTCGCAGTTGTGCAATTTCTGTCAAGCTCTCGCTGGAATACAAAATATAAAAGAAGCGCGAAAGTTGTTCGGAAAGCTCGACACTGAAGCGGACACTGTTGTTGACTGTTGTAGGAACTGAGGCGAGGGGCACAAGCAGAGACATGGACAATGTGCAAATGATCGGCACTAAAATCACAGCGATCAAGGAATACTTATATGTAAGGCATTCCCATCTCGCTGCACGCCATTCATCGTGTCTCTCTCTCTCTCTCTTTCTCTTCATTTCGTGATTATCGCTACGTATCTGTTCCTTAACTCTGTTATTTTTCTTCC